GCTTTTTTCACTTGGGCAGGAAAAGAGCCCCCCCCCTGCCCCTCTCACCAGGGAGGTGCTGAACACGGACGTGCCCACTGTGCCACTTGCGGCCATCCCAGCCGTTCACAGAGGGGTAGTCTGCAGAGGTTACATGCCCATTGTGCAGGCCTCTGTCAGGAAGGAATGGCCAGGCCAAGGCATTGCATTCTGGGACTTGCTGTCTCTAGAGACCCACAGATCCATTAGGACACTGGGTGAAAGGTGGTGGGAGGTCAGGTCCTAGATGCACACTTGGGCTCCTGGTTAGCGGCTTGCATGGACCTGAGAAAGGTAATGTTGGGGTTCTCATAGGTTAAAGGGGCTACCACCACAGAAAGACTCCAGATCTCCCTTGGCTGCCCCCTGAGCCTGGTGACTCTTTCTGGGATGGGGTTACGCACTCACCTCCAAACTCCTTCTTCCAGTTACAGGGGATCTTGCACTTGAGTCTCTTTGTCTCCTCCTTGCAGGTCCCCTCGCGGTAGCCCACGCCACAGTCTTTGCTGTTTGGGGTGCAAGGCCCCCAGCGCCAATCCTCACATTCAGAGCTGTTCTTCTTTACCTTGTCTGCAGTGCAGAGCAGACAGTCACGCCAAAGGATACAGAACAGCAGTAGGTCCCCTAGATAGGGGCTCTCCCCTCCCTCACTTGCAGCCAAAAACATGAACCATCCTCCCCCCCAGGGTGGGGAACCTAGAGAGGCAGATGTGTGCACCAGCCCCATGGTGGAACGGCAGGAGAGCTGGAGCACCCACCATCACAGGCTCCCCAATGCTGGGGGGGGAGGGGAAGTCCCGAGCCTTGGGGGCTAGATCCAGGCAAGCTAAGGGCCACACCTAGCCCTTGGGCCTTAGGTTCCCCACCCCTGACCTACCCCCCACGCATAGCAAGTCCCGGAGCAGAGGATGAGGGATGAATTCTCCTCTTCCTAAGCAGCCATGAATTTGTCCCTCACCTTTCTTGTTTTTTCCAGCCTCAGAGGCTGCAGTCATGAGGATCAGCACCAGGAGAAGGATGAGCCCGTGGACCTGCATTCTGCATGGAAGAGGGAGATACATCAGCCTGGAGGAGGACCCAGGCGAGAGAGGAAGTCCCGGAGCAGAGGATGAGGGATGAATTCTCCTCTTCCTAAGCAGCCATGAATTTGTCCCTCACCTTTCTTGTTTTTTCCAGCCTCAGAGGCTGCAGTCATGAGGATCAGCACCAGGAGAAGGATGAGCCCGTGGACCTGCATTCTGCATGGAAGAGGGAGATACATCAGCCTGGAGGAGGACCCAGGCGAGAGAGGAGAAGGACACCAGGCTGGTGTGGGCAGGCTTGAGCTCAGGGGAGGGTGCCTGGGTCACTCTTCTGGGCTCAAGATGGGCCAAGTCCCAGGGATTTCAGTCCCTTCCTGCTTAGGGCTGTGAAGCCCCTTCTGCACTCTCCCCACAATCTCCGTGTGTCACTCTACAGGGTAGAGGGGAGCAGGGAACACGTAACCCCAAACATTGAGCTGAGCTGTGTCTCTTCCCTAGGCCAGGCACAGGGCTGGACGAGGGACAGGAACGGGGGAGGCACTACTGCTCTGAGTGCTAATCGCCCTAGTGCCTAGCAGGAGGGAACAGGTCCCATGTAGCAAGTGTTTCTACCTGAGGCCCTGCTTCTTCCCAGAGCACGGAGCCATCCCCCCGCACGTTGCCCAGGGGCCCAGCATGGCTGTTGGCTCCCCTGGTCAAGCAGGAGCCTCCCCTAGCTGCAGGATTGGGGGGCTCCCAAGCCAGGCTCAGGGACAGGACTGGGACACAGCCAACCCCTGCAGTCTTGAGAGAAGTCAGGCTGGCTCCCCACCAGCGCTCAGCAGTGAGTGGGACTCGCCCCAGCCTGTGTGCACATTGGTGAGCATCTTACGTGCACTCAACTTACAAGCCCTCCCTCCAGGCTAGGGCACGTTCAGCCAGACCACACCAGCAGAGGGGCCATGGCCCAGCGCAGCTCTCAGCCCGATCCTCCCCTTCCAAGGCGGGCGGAAAGTGCTCCCGGCAGGCTGGCTGACGGGACTTCTGGTTATAGAGGCGCATGAGTCCTTCCCACTCCAGAGCAAAGGACGGATACAGTGACCCCAGAGACCCCATCCTAGCGGGGTGAGAGGAGGAGCCTTATCTCCAATAACGAGCTGCCCAGCAACTGGGGCGTCTCAGCAGATCGGCACCTTTTATCATTGCCCCCACCACCACAGGCCTGTGTGTCATATAAATGCTGCCCTCCCCATCCTTGGAGCAGCCCAAGGTAGCAAGCAAGTCTTTTCCACACCAGCCCGGCTCGCGGCCTCCTGCGCAGAGCTCACCCCGAGAGGATCACAGATGACTACAACGCTGTAACGATCTCCATGTGCCTCACTGTGCAGCGAGTCAGGTTTGTGTGTGGAAGTGGCCACCAGACACTTCACCTCTTCTGGGCTCTACAGGCTACTCTGTAGTCACATGCAAACTAAGGCCCCGTGTGCAACTTACAGCAGACCCTTAGCTAAGCACAACATTTGGGCCTGATCCGTCCTCCTACACCCAATGACACAGGGCAGCAGGAAAATGCAGGATTACGCCCTTCATTACAGCTTCTCCCACGTGACCTTGTCTGTCTCTGAATAGCTGCTGGGACTCCTGCTGGTGAGTATCAGGAGGGGAAGAGGGCTCAGGCCTCTTGTTACAGGGCATGGGTAGGCACATTAACATCACAATCCCCACCCCCAGCTTTAAACCAGAAAAAAAAGGAGGCTGGGAAAGCCAATCCGCCTGGGGGGGGGAGTGCTGTGCCACTCTGGCCCTTGGAAAGCAGAGAAGCCTCCTGTTTGTCTGCTGGCAGTAATGAGGCCTTGCCCCCCGACTCCCCAACCCCAGTGATTCCTCAGCCCCCTTCCATGCCCACATTTCCCAGTGCCTCTTTTATCCAACGCCCAGCAGGCTCTCTCGCCCACGCCAAAAATCCCCATGGGGACAGCAGCTGCCATGGAAGCTTTATCCGGCTCCAAAAGAATCCAGGGCAGAAAAAAACCCTACGACCATCGTTTTTTGAAAACTAAAACAGAAGATTAAAAAAAGCCCATACAATGTGGAGCTCATGTGGAGCTTTAGAAGTGAAAGCTGCTCCCCCTGCTGGTTCCCTTAATGTCAGCCCATTACCATACAGGCACAAAGGGACTGCGGATGCAGAAGGCCAGTCTGGGGGTGGGGGGACAAGGAGGGAACAGAAGACCTGGAAGTAGGAGTCATGGGTGTGCATGCACATGCCTCTCTGTTTGAATGTGCAAGGCAAGAACTTGTGCACAGCGGAGGAGCATGTGTGTACGTGCATCTGTATGCGCATGGAGAGGCAGTGAATGCACGGAGTACATGAGGGAGTATGTGCACGCTATGGGACAGTGCATACATTTGTTCAATTACTATTTTAGCTCCACAGTGCTAGCTTTAGCTCCTCTAAGAGAGCCCCTGAACAGTATTGAAGTCAGAGGGGCAGTGTCCCTGTGTGGGCAGGTCAGTGACTGCCTACGCGCCTTAGTTTCCAGCAAATACGGTGGCTAGAAATAGATCCAACCCCAAATCAGACACTTGGTAGGACACAGAATCCAGATGCGGAATTCCCCACCTCACCTGTATCCGTTGGAACCTGAACTCTGAGCTGAGTCCCCTGAATCTGATGGGTTTGAAATCTGGCTTTGGAGCCCCCTCTAGAGTGGTGCGGGAGCTGCCCCTTATTTTGTGGGGTCTGAGCTTTTGCTGACATCACTGCATCTGTCCCTCCCTTTTAGCTCCAGGAGATCCCGCAGCACTGTGGGTGTGAACAAAGGACCTTGGCAGAGCAGTGGTCCTGTTTGGGGGGGATGGGCAACAGCTTTTTACCTTCTCTTCCCATGACCAATGAGACTTCCTCTGATGGTTTCCCCACTGGTAGCAGTTCCATGAAGGACAGCAATTGACCCACTGTCTTATGCTGAGCTGGCACAGACAGTGACAAAGCCAACTTCCCCCACACTCACAAGGGGCCTCTATGGTGGGTGGCAGTGGCGGGGGGGTTATCATGTGTGCACCTCATTAAACAAATGTACAAATTCACCACCAGGGGGAGCCATACAGGTTGCAACTGAAGCCCAGGCTTAAATGGGAGTGGACTGGTGCCAGGCAGTATGTGCAGAAGAGGGAGAAAACTCCTATACAGAAAATGGCAGCTGCCAACCCAGGGAGCAGGTGAAATCCGGGTACTAGGAGGAAAGGGGATTAGACTAGCTGAACATTACAGCAGCTTGGAGCCAATGTGTTTTGATGGATGTGATGCTTCTCACTAGGTCCATATGCAGGGGGCACAGCCCAGCTTGGCTTCACCTTCTGCCCATCCCAAGTGCATTGCTAAGCTAGTCACTCACACTTGTGGGCCTCTCCCCCACGTACAAGGCCTAGTAAACCATGGACACACCCCGTCCCACTGTTACTTATGACAAGGCAGCTCCCAAGTTGATAACAGCATGTCCACCCTGGCTCGAGGGAATCGGCTCCCCCATCCTGCCCTGGGTGCAAAACCCTCCTGGCAGGCCAGCTATAGGATGGGACACGCGGGGTATGGTGTGGAGGGGGAGAAACACTTGGTCAGCGTTCGCTCCCTTCCCCCACACGGCCACCCTGGCAGCACGCTGGGTGAAGCAGCTCAGTTCGTTATTCAGGCTCCAGTGCACTCACCTTTTGTGTGTCGTTGCTGTGAAGCGCCCGGCTTCACTCTGAATTGAAGTGTCACAGAGAATTACACAGCCCGGCTGGCTGAAGGCAGAGCTGAGGGGACTAGAGCCGCCTTCCCCACCTCAGATGAGAATTATCTGGGGAGCCCTACGCCAGCCAGATCACAGCTCAAACGCCTTCCCACCACACTCTCCTCAAAGAGGTTGCAAAGACAAGAGCTCAGCATTGAGAAGGAGCCAAAGCAGCCCAGCTTCCGGAGGCAGAGGCTGGGAGCTGGCTACAGCCAACACTTCTGCCCTGTTCCATAATACCTCCTGCTGGGAGGCCATGGGACTAGAGCAAAAGGAGCTTTGCACAGCCTATGTTTCTGCCTTGATCTCTACAGCACTTCCTGCAGGAGTGGATGAGGCTACGGTAACCAAGCGCCCCCACCCCCCTCCCGAGACAGAGTTCCTATCCAATTCCCTACTGGCTCTTGGAGCAGTCTTCTATCGCCCCTTACTCAGACTCTCCCATTCACCTCCACTCTGTAAGGATTGCTTCTGCCTTGGCTATCCTCAGCCCAGCTCTGCAACATGGCCGTGGTAATACAGCCTCCCTCTGTTCCCTCTGGCTTGTCTCTCCTCCAGCCTGCAACTTTCACAGACCTCTTCATTGGCTCCTCGGTGCCCATTGGCTGGCCTTACTTTTAAAAGTCTCCATGGAGTTAGTCCTCTTTGCATCATGGTCTTTACTTCCCTGCTTCTTCTGCTGTACCCCTCAACTTCTCCCCAGTATGGGTGTGAGAGCCTTTTCTCTGTAGCTCCCACTGTGGGCTAACACGCAGGTACAACTGCCCTCCCTGGTGCATGGTAAGCATGTCCGCCAACTTCTGGAGGTGGGATGCACTAACTAGTCGACCATCCAATAAGCAAAAGCTTATTGGATAGTCCAGTTGACTAGTTGATTCCACCTCCCCTTGCTGCCTCTATCAGATGCAGGCAGCAAAGAAGGGGGAAAGAGGGTGTACTTCAAAGCGGCAGTGCTGCACCGCTGTGCCCAGGATCAGCTGTGTGGCGCTGCCCTTTTGGAATGCCGCCACAGTGCAGTGCTGCGAGGAGCCCCGGGTCAGAGACTCCCCAGCTGATCCTAGGGTCTGGGGAAATGCCGTGCAGAACCCAGTCTCAGCTGGGGAGTCGCCTGCTGATCCCAGGCTCCATGCAGGCGTTTCCACTTTGAAATGCACAAGAGCCTCCGCTGGGGACTCTTGTACATTTCAAAGGTGGCTGGCACCTGCCTGCAGCCCGGAGTCAGCAAGACTTCCTGCTGGCTTCCCAGGCTCCATGAGGGCACTTCCACTTTGAAATGCGCAAGAGCCCCTGCTGGGGCTCTTATACATTTAAAAGGAGGAATGCAGGAGTGCCTATCGACTAGTCGATTGAAATTCTATCGACTATTTGACTAGTAAATTACTCACTATTTAACATCCTTAATCTAGTCCTCTGCCTGTGAGCAAAACCCCAGGAAACAGTTATAAAAGAAACAAACAAACACACACACCCCAAGAATCCTCATTTCAGTGCGATGTCCCAGAACTCTGTGCCTGAGCTCCCCCTGCAGGGCCATCAGCTAAACACTCTTGCAGAATGCTGTCCTGCTGCCAGACAAGTAAAACAAGGCAGGTTTGGCTAAAGCCCTAGCACTGGAGCAAGGAGGCCTGCGTTCTATTCCAAGCTTCACTACAGAATTGCTGTGCAAATCACTTTCCATCACTGTGCCTGAGTCAGAAAGAAAAATAAATGAAACTCTGGAGACATCATTCAGTCTGCAGTATTCCACCGAGAAAGGGAGGGAACATAAATGTTCAGAATAAATTTCAGCCCCCCACATGGTTCCAATTCCAGCTGAAAATGACCACAAGTGTGTTTGCAAAACTGTCGTCCTTTTTGCAGCTGGATCTAGCGGCCCCCTTGCTGATCCAAGGCATCTATCCCCCACGTCTGCTCTCCCCAGGCAGACTGCACGTGTCGAGCTGAGAGAGTTTATACTGATTTTGGCAGCATCTTCCATTGCTAAGGATTTCACTCACTTTGGCTCAGATGTCAGGCTGATATTGAAATGGGATCCAAAGTGCCAAACATAACAATGAGGGGCCTTGGGACCTCGTCTGATCTGCACTCTGTGCCAGGCAAAGCCAGCTGCAGTTGCCACTCCTGAAGCAGGCACAGCAGCATATTTCCCGGCTTCCTCTGCATCCACTAGACCTCTGGTTCCTGTTGTGGCGGGCTCGAAAGGCTCTGAGTGACCCTAGGGAGTGAGGAATGTTGCGTTCCTGCTAATCTGACTTGCGCCCCTTGCTTTCAATACAGGGACCCCTCCGCTTGGCTCACACTATATCTAGGTCAGGTAGCAGAGACTCCCTGAGTCTGCGAAGCACAGGGCAGGGGGACAAAGGGGTTAACCAACCCCTGCCGCTTTAGAAATTTTCCCTAGAGCTGAGCAACTCCCCAAGGCTGGAGTAGCACACTCTCCTGGCCAGGATCTCAGTACAGACGGAGCCAGGACAGGGTTCACTAACCCTTCCCCACTGACTCATTATGTGCAACTGTGTTGGTACAGTACCCTAAGGCCTTGGGTGTGGCTGGGCAGCAGGGTTCTCTGGGGGCAGTGAGCTTTCTCCAGGGACCACGATAACCTATACTGAGGGAAGAGAGGTTGCCTGTTTCAGCCCATTCCTGATGGAAGGGGGCTTCATGCCACAGACTCCCCTTCAGTCCTGGCTTGCAGGAGCCAGCAGGTTGCCTGTGGTTAAAACTGCAGCAGGGAAGGAGACTGGGGAGGCTTGCTGCCTCCCCAGCCATTGCATGCACCACCAGCTGAATCTGCCTGCCTGGCTACTCTTTGCCTATGGTCTTCCAGGCAAGGCCACTAACCTTCTCTACCATGCTGAAACCAGCCTCCTGCTCTGAGGCCATCTTCCTCCCTCCTCTCCCCACAGATATCCTTCCCCTTGAGCTGCCACATGCCTTAGTTCTCCCGAGCCATTCTCTTCCTTAGAACTCCCTGTGCCCTCTCCCTCCACACGCTCTTAGGTTTGTTGCCTTAACCCCCACCCCTTCCTCCTCACGTAGCCCACTGGGGTCTTCAGTTTCTCTTTGGTTTTAATCTTCTCTCCCCTGACTCCCTTCTGTCCACTGCCCCATAGGGCCAGATGCTCCTCCCCTCCCATAATGTTGTGGCAGGACAAGTGCTAATGTTGCTCGAATAGTCCCGGCTCAGGGGTCAGGGCAGATGCGTTCAATGTGTGCAGCATGCACTGGCCTCCAAGTCTGACTGGGGGGCAGCTGCTCTGTAGCCTGAGGCTGTATCATCCCAGGCTATTTCTTCCACAGTTACTCTCAGTCCTTGCCCAGGACACAGAGCAGCTCTGTTCTTGGGCTTCCTTGGATTTTGCAGAATGGAGCAGAAAGTGTCTGAGCTACCTGCTTTCCTTGCTCACTTGTGTTATCAGGGCTCTCTCCAACATAGACCTGTCCCCATGGCTCCACTTCGCCTTCCTACAGACTTGCAAATCTGGCCCATCCAAACCTAACCTTCCCTGCAGATCCAGACACCGACAATGCCCCAGCTCCATAGCATCCAGCTCTCTCTGCCAATCTGTTGAGAGCTTTCTCCTCTGATCACCACCTGGCAAAGGAATCCATGGCCATCTCTATCTTGTCCCAGTTCTCAAGGGCACTTTAACAGTATCTCCTCCTCCAGCATAGCCAGCTTCTGGCAGGACCCAGTCCAATCACCCTTTCCCTCGCATGCCCTTTGGCTCCTGCTCTCACATTACTGCACCCAGCTCTCCCCTTCTCCCTCTCCATTCTGCTGCTTACTCACTCCCTTTCCTCTCTTCAGCACCAGCAGATAAGAAAGCAGCACACCCCACTTACCAGACAGATTCCTGGGCCATTTCTGTCTGCGCTTCTATAGCCTAACTGCCCCCAGTTAACCTGCAGCTCCCTCCTCAGGCTCCCTGGCCTTACTGATTCCTGTGCTGGGGCATGTTTTCTCTTCTCTTCTGTTCCTACCTTCCATCTAGGCACCTCCTGGGTGCCTGTTCCTGGACAGATCGCTGGTCACAACCACCAATCACTGGGGGCTGGCCCTACCCGGGGCTGTTGCCGAAGCGGGTGCTAGGAGAGGGAAGGCGGGGAGGCTGCACCAGATGTTGCAGAGAAGGAGGGTCTCCCCACCCTTGGTGAGCACTGATAGGACTGAGGGGGAAGGCCTGTGCTAGGGAGAAGAGAGGCTGGGGCTGCGAGGTTGGTAGGAGCCCTCCATGGGCAGTTTTAAGGAGACAGTTTGTCACTGGCCCAAGCAACAGCTGGGGAGCCCCAGAGGTGCAGCAGAGGGGTGGGAGGTGATCACCAGGCAGGGTGACTGCAGCCAGCAGAGCCGGGGGAGGAGCTGCAGGCACTGGGAGAACTAGGCTCTGCCCAGCAAGGACTGGGGTGCGCCCCACACCCCTTTAACTCAGCTGGGTGGGGAACCCCTGGGGCAGCGGGATGGCCCAGCCCCCAGCCCTTCCGGGCGGGGGAGGGGGAGAGTGCAACCCGCCCCAGAGCCCCAACAGCCCGCCCCTGAGCCTTCGGGTTGGGAGGAGTCACAGCCCCA